AAAAAAAAAAAAAAAAATGTATTCCCCCACCATTATCATATACTGGGAAATACTTATTTTTCCAGCAACAACAAAAAGAAGGAATCCCCAAGGAAGAAGAAAACAAAACTCATTGCCATCGAGTTGAGTCTGGCTCATAGCGACCCCCATTGGGTTTCTACGGCGGTAAATCTTTCCAGAGGTAGATAGCCCCATCTTCCTTCTGTGCAGCAGCTGGTGGGTTTGAACTGCTGACCTTCTGATTAGCAGCCAAATGCCTTATGCACTATGCTACCAGAGCTCCTTCCAGGAAGAAAAGAGGGGACCTATATAGAACAAATGAAAATAAGCAAAATCATCAGTAGGATTAGGCACCTTTTCTTTCAGAAGAGCTGAGACCAGCAATTAGGAAGATGACAGAGTACCTATGAGTTGATTAAATTAAGTAATGTATATGAAAGTATTTTACACTCATTTGAGAAGCTGAATGTTGTTGCTTTATTAAAAATTGGAAGTGTAACAACATATACTCAATTTTTTTTTATTTTAAAAATATTTTAACTTTCCAGATAATTCCTTTTTCCTTCTTTATGTTTTTCCTGGCACATGTTACAATTTACTTCTCATTATTTAACCTCAAGTTTATTTATGTAATTGCTCTGTATTTAAGCTTTTCCACTCCCCAAAAAATAAAATTCACAAACGTCATAGAATGGTACTGTATTCCCCCCTACTCATACCAGTAAAAATATATCATTTTCATGCCAGTAATAGAAAAACATCAGCATCAATACTGTTTTAATTATTTATGTGTTCTGAGGCAAGGCTCTGGGACCAAAGCTTTTCCAGATTTTCCTTGATTAATTATCTGTGGAGTCCCAAATTATACATTACAGAGGGGCCACAGCACATCAGAAGATAAAGGGATCACCCCAAACGACCACTACTTTTGCTTGAGTGCAGTACACCACTGTTTCATCTGCTAGATGGAGATGAAGTAGCTTTAGTGAAGTCAGCTGTTTCTTTTCCTTTTGATGTGGCATCAAAGGTTGCTTACTGCTATAATCTGAATTTCTGAATAGATTTTCCTTCTATTGGGTCAGCCTTCACAATTGGTTGAAATTGTCCAGAGGCTTATCTGATGCAGCCCAGACAGGGTCCATTGGTAGCTCCACCATTAGCAAATATAATCCTGGACTCCAGTAAAGCACTTAAAGCCAATAAAATGCTGTGTGTGTGTGCGTGCGTGCGTGCGTGCGTGCGTGCACATGTCTGAGCAAGAGACAGAACATACCCATGAGGGTGAAAGTCCTCACGCAACAGAAAGGAAGAACATTAATAACCTGGACAACCATTTACACTTAATGCTCAGATCAGAGCTTATACCCTCATTGAAGCTATTTATAAACATTAGCAAACAAAAGCCTTGCATTGTGTTTAGAGCCTTGCATCAGAGAGCTTAGATGAAGTTGTTCATTATATTATTAATAATTAGTAATAACTTATTAGTAATATTAGTAATACATATATAGTAACATATACATATATGATGTTAGTAAATGTTAGTAACAATTCAGTAGTTCAGTTATCTGAAGATATCTCTAAAACTGGGCATAAGGCTTTATTTAAATGACTATACTTGGGAATCAAAAATACTGTCATAATTTACTATCATAATTTATAGGCATTTTCTTTGCTGCAGACATTATACAAGATTTAGTCACCAGCAGTATTACATATCCTGAAAGCATTTGAAGACATATTTTCCAAGAGCCAGATAATAAAAATACCCCAACAGGAAAAGATTCTTCAGAAGGAAATGCAAGATGATGGCTAAGCCTGGGCATGATAGGGAAAAGGGCCTATGTGTTCAGTCTCCTGACCTGGGTCCCATTCACTCTTTAAACAGCATGATGTCAACAGCATGATTTCAGGCAAATGGCATCACCTTTCTGAGCTTGCTTTCCTCTTCCTCCAAAAAGACTGCTTAGTTTACTCAGAGAGTCATTGAGAGTATCAGATAAAACTGGGTGATGTATCTGAAAACATTTGGAAAAAGTGGAAGTTCTGTATAGTCTAAGACAGAGCTCAGCATGGTGTCTGGTACAATGTAAGATATTAAACATGTTTTGTTAATTGAATTCATATAGAAGTGGAAGTCAGTATTTGGAATGTACCATGTTGAAAATATTTTTTTAAAAAATCATCTTAAGGTTTCATTATAATAATAATAATATGTGCTAACATGGGACAAGATTCTTTTAAATTGCCTTTTTAACATTTAATCCTTTCAGCACTTTATAAGTCCTATTACTATTCACTCTTCATAGTCAAAGAAATTGAGGCTCAGAGGGGTTAAATAACTTTCCTGAATCATACAGTAAATAAACGGTAGCAGAAATTACTTTCTGTTACCTTGATCATAATTGTTCTGGTGGCCCTGATTTTTTCTCCCCCCTAGAACGCTAGCTCCCATCCCATTCTACAGTTTACCTTCCATGGGCTTCCAGCGTATGAAGAGAGAGATTCCGCACCTGTTCAGAAAGTCTTTGAAATCTTTTGAGCCCTCTCCCTCTCATGACACCAGATCATCTCTGGGACTTTGTGTTCTAGGAAGTACTGAGAGGGAGTGCTGAGCACCCTGGCTTCCCACAGCCTGCCGTTGGCCATGTTGTACTATGTGGAACATATCCTTGAGTATCTGGTCTTAGGGTATAACTCCAAAACCAAAGGAAAGTTCACTCTATGGCAAAATCCTGATTTCTGACCATCTCACATCAGCCATAGTGAACTTTAGATTCAGTTTTATAATCATGTTTAATTTTTCAATGAAAGAAACTTATTGGTTCCTTTGCCTTTAAAATCCTTCTCAGTCTAACCTGTTGGAGTGTGGCCCCTGACCTTGCTATTTAGCCTTCCATAAAGCTTGCAGAAATTTTCACTAAGAAGATAGGTGGGGGTGGATAGAAGCAGGGGTAGTATTCAAAATGGCACTGCTTGTTCTCCCTTATCTTTCACCTCAGCATTTCTTTCTCTGACCCTGTCTACCACTGCCCTAGCTCCCAACATCTGTATTTTACAAGAAAACCGTCTCTTCAGGAAAAGAAGGGGCTTGTGTGCTGATTTGCCTTTGAGGCATAGTGGCTAATCAGTGACTAATTCAGAATCGTTTACTTTTTAGCAAAGTGACAACAAAGAACTAGATGATGCCCTGGATCAGCTTTCTGACAGCCTAGGACAAAGACAGCCTGACCCAGATGAGAACAAACCAATGGAGGATAAAGTAAAGGTATAATGGAAACATTTATAAATAAATAAAGGAAAATATAAGGGTTTTATACCATAAAACACCCTGGACTCCACATTAAAAAGGCAACTCTGGCATTGTCTCAAGTTAGGAAACAGTTGAATAACTTAAATCTCATTTTTTTCCTTTTCTTTGCTCAGTGTTGCATTTTTTAATTTTCTCACTGAGGATGTTTATGGCATGAAATCCATAGGCACAAGTCTTACTGATACAACCAGATTAAATATCAGAAAACCACAGCTGTGCTTCTTTGCTCATTTTATTCTCTTCCCACATTAACTTTTCTTGATTGTACCTAGTAGTAAGGATGTCACATGTGCATTTTTTAATTGTACATGTTCTGAGCATGTTATGGGCAGATGCCACTATTTGCTGGATGTTTTCCTTGTAGCTCCTCTTCAGGCCTAACTAAATCTGAGTTATATTCCTACATAAAGAAGGCACTGGACCAGAAGTTCAGCACCATATAGAGATGTGTCTAGAAGGACACAAATAAAATCTATATATTTCATACAGTATTTAATAATCCATTTCAGCTTTGTGGATCAAAGTTGCATCTAGAAACTGTCTGGACCACCAAACTCATGTCCCAAAACAGCATTTCAGAGCACTCTTAGGTCTTGATTCTATCATCATCACAGAAGAATTGATAAGAACTTAACTTACACTCAAAAAATGAAATTAGAATGATGCAGAAAAATAAAATCATTAGTTCCCTGGGGGAGTCACTGAGTCTGTGATGGAGACCAACCATCCAAGGCCCACTCCAAGGAGCTGCTGGGAGGCAGGTGTGGCTTATTCAGCAGTGGAGAGATCACAGTGAGAGTCACCTGTTCACAAGCAGCCCAGCCTGTCCAATCCAAATTACTCCTTGTCCTGGTCCTTTGGGTTTGCTGAGAAATAGTCAAATTTATAAATACTACCTCTGTATATATAAGGAGCTCTGGTAGCATAGTGCCTAAGGCATTTGACTGCTAACCAGAAGGTTGGTGGTTCAAACCCACCAGCCACTTCATGGAAGGAAGATGAAACAATCAACTTTCATAAAGGTTTACCACCTCAGAAACCCAATGGAGGTTGCTATGAGTTGGAATCAACTCGATGGCAGTGGGTTGTTTTTTATTTTTTATTTTTTTAATACCTCTGTATATGCCAAGGTATACAGAATGACCTGATTTTTTTAACTGAAAAGTGAATCTCATATGGGGGAAAAGTATATCTATTTTATACCCTTAGGTTTAATCTCCTAGTATGGTTTCTTAAGATAACTAAAATTAATCATTTATCATTTTTAAATACAGATAGAAACTTCATAGATATAGATTGAAATATAGATGCTTATGAGTTTATTTTTTCTTCAGTTAATAGTCTGTTGAAGCCACTTATTTGTTGTTCTGTTGTTTAAAAAAAATGAAAGCAGACCATATGTTTTGCCTCATGCAAGTACAATAAATGCTGAATGTGTCATTTAGAATGTATTCTCTAGCAGAAAGTGAAAATGAATATTAATTATATCTGTTCATTGTTCATAGGAAAGAGCTAAGGCTGAACATAGAGACAAACTAGGAGAAAGAGATGACACTATCCCACCTGAATACAGACATCTCCTGGATAAGGATGAGGTAAACCAAAGCAAATGGCTATTTAGGGCCACAGGAACTTTGTATCCTAGATTTGGTTCCTACTACAAAGGTTTTTTGTTTGTTTGTTTTACTTTAAACCTCACTTGAAATGAATAGAGGTGCACGTTGACAAAAGCATAAAAATATAACATGGCTGACTACTTTAAATGAATCCCTGGTATTGAAATGCAAGCTGCCTACCATCCTGTTTCATACTTATTTGATCCAGTATCAATTGGTGATCACTATTCTAGGCATTCTAGTATAAACAGAGTTGAATAATACTCATCTGTGAGCAATTCTGAGACACACAGAAGAATTCCTTTACAGCTTATAAAAATGAACGGGAGCTCTGGTAGCATAGTGCCTAAGGCACTTGACTGCTAACCCACCAGCCACTCCTCGGAAGGAAGATGAGGGAATCTACTGCCATAGTGATACTGCCTCAGATACCCAAGGAGGGGTCGCTATGAGTCGGGTCCAACTCAACGGCACATAACAACCACAACAACAACATGGAATTCCAAAGGAAGCAAAGAATCTTTCTTTAGGGAAGGCAGATATGGAGCAATTGTTAAAATAATTAATAAAGCAAATAAGACACCTCCAAGACCTGGGGTTTCTCTTCCTTCTACACCACCACCAGCACTACTAATTGTGAGTGAAGACAGACAAGCAAAATGATATTCCTAATTAGAAGTCCTGATCCTATATCTAAATACACTCTGACAAGAAGTTGCTAGTCTTTTGCCTCTAACTTGCAAGCCAATTTTTCTTAAGTCTAGATAAACCTGGCCTGTCCTCCTTTTTAATTCAGCTCCTACTTGAGTCAATTAGAAGGTAAATAACACTTCCCAGTCCACTTTATCAAATAGGAATAAGGAATTCCAAATTGCATTCCTCTCTACTCTTCCTGTTCTGATTTATTTGGTAAAATGAGTCTCTAGACTAAATAACATGTATAAAAGCAGTGGCGCCATGGTCAGAACGAATTATCCTTGCTTGTAGTGCCTAAGGCATCTGACTTCTAACCAGAAGGCCGACAATTCAAACTCACCAGCCAGTCCTTGAAAGGAAGATTGGGCAATCTACTTCCGTAGACATACTGCCTCAGAAACTCAAGGAGGGGTCATTGTGAGTCGGGATCGACTTGATGGCCATGAGTTTGGTTTTTTGGTTTGGTGTTCAGTATTCCTCAAAATAGCAATTGTGCAACTTGTACAGATTGCTGGAATCCTTCTCGCTTTAATAGCACCACCTGAGTCTGATTTTTGCTTTGGGAAAAATATTCTTTAATGCCTTTGCCTTTGAAGATGGGAAGTCTCTCATGCTTCGTATCTGTACTCCTGACTGAAAATAATCTAATTGTAAAACCCCTAATAGTGTTTGTTTCGGTTACCTAGTGCCGCCCTGACAAGAAAATACAAATGGGATGGCTTGAACAAACAGGAGTTTATTCTTATAATTTGGAGGCTTTAAATCCGAGTTGCAAGTGCCACAATGTAGAGGCTGGGTGAAAGCCCCTTAACCTTGGGCTTTAGCTCTGCCTCCTGCTCCCAGCCCACTGAAGCTGGAGGGTTTTTCTTTACTCAGCTGCTGGCTGCTGAGGCTCACAAGCCCAAAGTGGATAGTTAATAAGGCACAGTCCCAATGTTACCAAACCACACGGCAAGCCATAAATTCAAGTTCATTAAAGGTCCTAAAGTTGGCAGAGCATGGCAGGCTGCTGAACAACAACCTGGCTACGTGCAGGGTTTAAGTGTGCCATAAGCTAGAGACCATTCCCAAAGCTGTTTCTTATACACAGGAAGCAGACCACATCCCTAAAGCAGTTACTCAGCTGCTTGTGGTAGATCCTACCATGGAGTTCATTGCCAATATTATCGTGGGGAATAACTATCACCAGCTGCCCAGCCACTCAACCAGGCCCAACCAAGTTGACATACAACTTTAACCACCACGGTGTTTCTTTTACTTCCAGGACCAGACTGTCTTTTCTTGCATTTTCCATATCACTATCCAAATGTTTGTATGAGTAGTAATTCAGCAAAGCTGGCAAAGTAATAATTAAACAGGGACCCAGGTTTATCAGTTAATTGCAAATCTGTATTCCATTTTATTCAAGTCAAGTCATAGATTCTATAAATACTGTTATTGTTGTTAGGTGCTGTCAAGTCAGCTCTGACTCATAGCAACCCTGTGTACAACAGAATGAAACACTGCCCTGTCCTGTGCCATCCTCACAATCCTTGCTGTGCTTGAACCCATGGCTGCAGCCACTGTATCAGTCCATCTCATTGATGGTCTTCCCCTTTTTTGGTGACCTTCTACTTTACCAAACATCATGCACTTCTCCAGGGATTGGTCCTTTCTGACTACACGATCAAAATAGATGAGATGAAGTCTGTCCATTTTCATTCTAAGGAGCATTCTGGCTATACTTCTTCCAGGATAGATTTGTTCGTTCTTCTGGCAGTCCATGGTATTTTCAGTGTTTTTTTTGCCAACACCACAGTTCAAAGGCATCAGTCCTTCATTGGTCTTCCTTATTCATTGTCCAGCTTCCACATGCATATAAGGCGATTTAAAATATTATGGCTTGGGTTAGGCACACCTTAGTCTTCTAAGGGACGTCTTAAACTTATTAAAGATGTCTTTCTCAACAGATTTGCCTAGTGCAATACAACATGTGATTTCTTGACTGGTGCTTCCATGAGTGTTGATTGTGGATCCAAGTAAAATGAAATCCTTGACAGCTTCAATCATTTCTCCATCTATCATGATGATACTTACTGATCCAGTTGGAGGATTTTTTTTATGTATATATTGAGGTGTAATCCATACTGATGACTATAGTCTTTGATCTTCATCAGTAAGTGCTTCACTTTCAGCAAGCAAGGTTGTGTCATCCACATATTGCAGGTTGCTAACGAATCTTCCTCCAATCCTTATGCTGCGTTCTTCATACAGTCCAGCTTCTCAGATTATTTGCTCAGCATATAGATTGAATGTTGTTGTTTGGTGCCATTGAATCATCTCCGATTCATGGCAACCCTATGCACAACAGAATGAAATATTGCCTGGTCTTGGGGCAGACTCATGATCCTTGCTATACCTGAGCCCATCATTGCAGCCACTGTGTCTATCCATCTCATTGACAGCCTTCCCCTTCTTCATTGACCCTCTACTTTACAAAGCATGATATTTGTCTCCAGGGAATGGTTCCTTCTGACAGCATAACCTAAGTAGGTGAGAAGAAGTCTGGCCATTCTCATTTCCAAGAGCATTCTGGCTTCACTTCTTCCAGGACAGATTTGTTAGTCCTTTTAGCAGACCATAGTACTCTCAGCATTCTTCTCCAATACCACAACTCAAAAGCATCAACTCTTCTTTGGTCTTCCTTACTCATTGTCCAGCCCTCACATGCATAAGAGGCAATTGAAAATACCATGGCTTGGGTTAGGTGTACCTTAGTCTTCAAGGAGACATCTTTGCTCTTCATCACTTGAAAGAGGTATTTTGCAGCAGATTTGCCCAGTGCTATATGTCATATGATATCTTGACTGCTCCTTCCACTGGTGTTGATTATAGAACCAAGTAATATGAAATCCTTGACAACTTCAGTCTTTTCTCCATCTACCATGAAGCTGTTTATTGGACCTGTTGTGAAAATTTTTGTTTTCTTTATATTGAGGGGTAATACATACTGTAGTCTTTAATCTTCATCAGTCAGTGCTTCAAGTCATCCTCACTTTCAGCAAGCAAAGTTCTGTCATTTGCGTATCACAGGTTATTAATGAGTCTTCCTCTAATCCTGATGCCACATTGTTCTTCATATAATCCAGCTTCTTGGATTATTTGCTCAGCATACAAGTTGAATAAGTATGGTGAAAGGAAACAGCCTTGATGCACTCCCTTCTTGATTTTTGAACCATGCAGTATCCCCTTTTTCTGTTCGCACGACAGCCTCCTGATCTACGTACAAATTGAATAACTGTGGTGAAAAGATACAACCCTGAGGCATGCCCTTTCTGATTTTAAACCATTGAATATTCCCTTGTTCTGTTTGAATGACAGCTTCTTGGTTTATATACAGGTTCCTCATGAGCATAATTAAGTGTTCTGGAATTCCCATTCTTTGCAGTGCTACCCATAATTTGTTATGATCCACACATCAAATGCCTTTGCATAGTCAATAAAAAACAGAAAAACATCTCTTGTATTCTTTTCTTTTAGCCAAGATCCATCTGACATCAACAATGATATCCCTCACTTCATGTCCTCATCGGAATCCAGCTTACTTTTCTGGAAGTTCCTTCCCTGTCAGTATACTGCTGCAACCATTTTTGAATTATTTTCAGTAAGATTTTACTTGCATGTGATATTAATGATATTGTTTGATAATGCCCACATTCTGTTGGATCATCTTTCCTTGGAATGGGCACAAATATCTTCCATTCAGTCGGCCAGGTAGCTGTCTTCCAAATTTCCTGCCATAGATGAGTAAAATGACTCCAGACCTGCGTGTGTTTGTTGAAACATCTCAATGGGTATTCCTTCAATTCCTGGAACCTTGTTTTTTGCCAATCCTTCAGTGCAACTTCGACTTCTTCCTTCAGTGCCATTGGTTGTTGAGCATGCGCTATTTCCTGAAATGACTGAATGTCAACCAATTCTTATGTGTATGGTGACTCTGTGTATTCCTTCCATCTTCTTTGATGCTTTCTGCATTGTTTAAATTTTACTCATAGAATCCTTCAAAATTGCAATTCGAGGCTTGAATTTTTTCTTCAGTTCTTTCAGCTTGAGAAATGCTGCCCATGTTTTCCTGTTTTTGTTTTCTAACTCCAGTTCTTCGCACATTTCATTATAATACTTTACTTTGTCTTCTTGAGCTGTCCTTTTAAATATTCTGTTTAGTTCTTTTATTTCAACATTCCCTCCATTTATTTTAGCCTACTCTCTGTTCAAGACCAAGTTTCAGTCTCTTCTGACATCCATTTTGGTCTTTTCTTCCTTTCTTATCTTTTTAATGACCTTTTGCTTTGTTCATGTATGACATTCATGATGTCATCCCACAACTCTTCTGATCTGCATCATTGGTGGTCAGTGTATCAAATCTGTTCTGCAAATGGTCTCTAAATTCAGGTGGGATATAATCAAGGTCATATTTTGGCTCTTGTGGACTTGTTTTAATTCAGCTTCACCTTGAACTTGCATGTGTGCAATTGATGGTCTGTTCCAAAGTGTTAGTTCTTGCCCTTGTTTTAACTGATGATATTGAGATTTTCCATCATTTCTTTCCATAGATGTAGTTGATTTGATTTCTATGTATTCCATCTGGTCAGGGCCACATTTTATGGTCATTGTCTATGTTGTTGATAAAAGGCATTTGCAATGAGTAAATCACTGGTCTTGCAAAATTCTGTCATGCAATCTCCAGCATCATTTCTACACCAAGGCTATATTTTCCAACCACAGATGATTCTTCTTTGTTTCTAACTTTTGCATTCCAAGCACCAATAATTATCAATACATCTTGTATTATATATCAATGCATCTGGTATGTTTGGTCAATTTCAGACTACAGCAGTTGATAAAGATTTTCAATTTCTTCATCTTTGGCTTTAGCAGTTGGTGCATAAATTTGAATGATAGTAGTATTAACTGATCCTCCTTTTAGATGTATGGATATTATCCTATTATTGACAGCATTGTACTTCAGGATAGATCTTGAAACATTCTTTTTGACAATGAATGTGAAACCATTCCTCTTCAATTTGTCATTTCCAGCATAGTAGATCATGTTATTGTCTGATTTAAAATGGCCAGTACCAGTCCATTTCAGCTCAGCTCACTAATGCCTAGGATATCAATCTTTATGTGTTACATTTCATTTCTGGTAACTTCCAATTTTCCTATATTCATACTTTATACGTTCCATGTTCCAATAATTAATGAATGGTTGCAGCTGTTTCTTCCCATTTTGAGTTGTGCCCCATCAGCAAATGAAGGTCCCAATAGCTCTACTCCATCATATCATTAAGGCCAACTCTACCTTGAGGAAACAGCTCTTCCCCAGTTGTATTTCAAGTGTCTTCCAACCTGAGAGACTCATCTTCTGACACTGGATCAGACAGTATTTCACAGCTCTTCATAAAGTTTTCCAGTAATACATTAGACAGTGTTTCACTGCTATTCATAAAAGTTTTCAGTGGCCAGTTCTTTCAAAAGTGAATGGCCCTGTCCTTTCCAGTCTGTCTTAGTCTGGAAGCTCTGAAGAAACCTCTCCACTGTGGGTGACTCTGCTGGTATTTGAAATACCAGTGGCATAGCCGCCAGCCTTTAGCCTCACAGCAACACAAAAGCCACCACAGTATGTATGACAAACTGACAGACAAGTGGTGGATAAATACTGACTACACCTAGGTAAACCTTTACGAAGATCTGTGTTTAACCAGTAGTCTGCCTTGTTTTTAAGGGCAAACCAGGGAAGCCATCCACCAAGGAATCAAAGGTAAATACCATAGCAGCATGTTTTGATTTAAAAAAATTAATTCTACCTATAGCTTTACTTTATATTAAACAAAATAAAATGAATACTTATCCTATGCTTGGTACTGTGTCAAGGTATGCATGTCAGAAAGAAAGAGAGAAAATGTGTTTGATTTGTGTATGTATGTGTGTAATTTGTCTAATTTAATCTTCACTAGAACCTTTTAAGAAAGGCAAGACCATATTCCAGATTAGAAAACTGAGGTTCAGAGAAAACTAAGTAATCTGTATAAAAGCATAAGAAAATAAAATTGTCAGTATTTTCTTTACAATAAATTGTTGTTAGGAAAAGAATGTCATCAAGTTTTTTTTTAATAAACATCTTTGATTTTTAAAGGATGTGGGGAAATGTCTCACATAGCATTTTTACCTTATACTGCTTCATTGATACTTCCATTAATGTTTCAGAAACCTGCAGATGACCAAGATCCCATTGATGCCCTCTCAGGAGATTTTGACAGCTGTCCTTCAAATACAGAAACTTCACAGAAAGCAGCAAAGGTACTATATACATTTTCCTATGGACATCCTTTGTGTGTGTGTGTGTGCGTGTGTAATCTTTAAAAAATGAATAGAGAATTTGAAAATAGAGAAAAGAAAAATTATCTATAATTCCCCTTGTCCCACAAACTACTACTGTTTGGTATATTCCCTTTGTCTTTTTCCATATGTATATGTTTAACATAGTTGTATTTATTCATAGTATATATATAAATACATTAAGAAGCCCTGGTGGTGCAGTGGTTAAGTCCTCTGCTGTTAACCAAAAGGCCAGCAGTTCAATCCTACCAGCTGCTCCATGGGAGAAAGATGGGACAGTCTCTTTCTATAAAGATTACAGCCTTTTAAACCCTATTTAAAAAAAAAACAAAAAACACTGCCATCAAGTCAGATCTGACTCATAGCAACCCCTCCTTGGGTTTCCAAGGCAGTATCACAACAGAAGTAGATTGCCCAGTCTTCTTTCCGAGGAGTGGCTGGTGGGTTTGAACTGCCAGCCTTCTGGTTAGCAGTCAAATGCCTTAGGCAGTACACCACCAGAGCGCCTTTTAAATCCCTGGAGCAGTTCTTCTCTGTCCTGTGGGTCACTATGTATTGGAATAGACTAGACAGCACACACAATGCATAAGTACATCGCTTAATGTTATTTCATAAACGTTTTTCATGTTGCCGTGTAATTGTCATAACTATCATTTTTGATTGCCACACTATGTTGTTGTGCAACAATAATGCTATGCCTTTAATACCATCCTGTGTTCATTTAAAATGAGAGCAGTCCCTAACTACACACATGCATGTGCCATCTGAGGTTTCTTCCCTTTCCTGCTCTCCCCAGCTTGCCGACTGCCCTGCTCTTTGCTCAGGGAGCAGCTCAAGCATCACCTTCCTCAAGAAGACTTCTCTGACTGCTGCTTCCTGGCCAGGCCACTCTGTGTTCTCACAGCACTCTGGATTACCTCTCTTTACACATGTATTCCACCACTAGGCTCCACACTTTATACAGTAGCTTTATCTTTTCCCTGTGTGCTTGTTGTTGTTATGTGCCATCGATCCAACTCATAGTAACCCCTCCTTGGGTTTCTGAGGTAGTATCACTATGGAAGTAGATTGCCCAACCTTCCTTCCATGGAGTGACTGGTGGCTTTGAACTGCCAGCCTCCTGGTTAGCAGTCAAGTGCCTTAGGCACTATGCTACCAGAGCTCCCTGTGTGCTTAGCATTAGCAAAATGCCTAGTATAGATCTGGTGCTCAAAATGTGATTAAAAGTGAATGGAGTAAAAAACTCATGTGTATTTCAACAAGTGTGGGGTACTTCACCTATAAACCATACTCTCTCACAATTCAAATAGAAAGAAAAGTGAGTGCCCTTTATGACCATTTTGAGAATTAATAGTGCAGATCCCAGTTTACTGCTGTTTTGGCTGGTTGTAAGCCGAGCTCCCAGTTACTGCATTATCAGTCCTTCCCTAACTGGGTGCTTTAATTTCTAGTCCAACTCTACATCCTGTTTCTCACTCCTAGAAGCACCCAAATAATCCCTTTTTCATGAATGGACCTTATATGTAACCTGCCCTAGGTCTCTGGTTGTTTCCATTGTCACATTTCTTCTCCATAACACAGAAAACAGTGTCCTGTTTGTACATAAAAGCAGTCCCAATGGAGACAGTCTGTGTTTTGATGAGCAAAATGAAGTCAGGATGAATCATGCATCACAGAAATTGGCAGAAAACATCAATGTGACCCACATAACAACATATTTCCCTCCTCATTTTTATCCATTTTGCCTCCTACCTTAAATACCATTGTTCAAAAATCATGATTGAAACAGCAATAGTTTTCCATTATTTAAATTGGGGATCTCCAGGCTACTAAAAAGAGTGATCTGGATTAATTTGAGTGTAAGCCAGTAGATAGCAATGGCCTTATTACATTTTCTTTACTGTAGGACAAAGGCAAGAAGACAGAATCCAGCACCACAGCACCCAAGAATGGGGATAAATCAAAGGATTCACCAAAGGTAAAACTTTTTAAAAAATGTACAGCCAATTAGATTAGCAGTTACGTCAGGTGGAGCCTATCCTTTTTAAGGTTTAATTTCTTAGTGGAATCTAGTGACGCTAAAAGATTTTATTTATTTATTTATTTGATTTATTTTAATTAATTTATTTATTTTTATTTGGGTGAAGATTTACAGAGCAAATTCACTTTTCATACAGCAGTTCACATATACTTTGTCTCATGTCATTGACTGCAGTTTACCACAATGCAACAGCTCCCCTCCCACTTCCTCCCCATGGTTACCTCTTCCCAGTGACCATCCCTCCGTACCCTCCTGCGCCCTGAGCTGTCTCCCTGTGCATAAGCAGCCCTTCCTTCTCCCATGATTGTTCTCTCTAGGGC